CAGAAGGGATACAATTAATCACAACAGGCGAGATGTAAGCGTCTGCTCGGAGAGATCTCGCTCTTCCGCAGTATTCAGTGTAAAATACCATTGCATCATTATTAAGGCTGGAGCCTGTTGGGTTATTACACTGCTTCAAAGTCAGAGTGCAGTTACTGAAAATGGCTTCACCTTTCATTGCCGCGAAGTGTGGCTTGAACCTTGCATTGTCTCGTCTATAAACTGCAGAAGCAGTAGTGAGTGGTGTGCTATTTGAAGAGTGTGTATTGAGAACAGTACAGTCAATGTTCCATCACAACCAATGTGCTAAAGGAAGAGTAAAATCACTCCTCTAAAAAACTACTTGAGTGGGTGGAAACAAGCGGATCATGTCAAAATACATTTATGCTACGGTTCCGCCAGCCAGCAGAGTTAAGTGTTGTGTTTCTTAGCTGTTTGCTGTTGCTTGAAGCGGAACCAGTGTACACAATGTATATTTTAATTATTGTTCTAATTTTAAAAGACGTCAAAGATGAGAAAATGTGATAGTCAATCAAGAACTGAATCAGGCTCTTCGTAGACCGACACTATTAGATGAACAATGTAAAAGTAACTGTGTAAAAAGGCCACTAGAATTTAAAAACAAGTTCCCCCCACTTACAATGTAAGTCAATGTTTCTTGCCCCCAAGAACAATAATTTTGTTTTAAAATTAGACTGTAAAAATAATTAGACTGACTCTAAGTACTGTAATTACAGTACTTTTCTTGCTGTACATTTGATATTATATTTATATTGTGTATATAAATTATAATTATATTAATAAATGAATAGCATTAATTATAATACATAATTAATAATAAATCATTTGAAATATTTTTAGTAGAATATTATTATTAAGTATATGTGAATGGTGTATTATATTTAAATTACCTCTAGAACGATTGACTGACATCCGGGTATTAGTGTTGCCTTCATACTTCATCAGTGGTTCTGAATACTGAGGTTTGCTATGGATATTAATGGGCAACTTATTGCTGTGCTCATGACATCATTCTAATGATTGGCTCTGATCTATGTGGTTTTTTTTTCTCAAAGTGTTTCCATCACTGCTAGTTAGTATAAAAGCCCGTAGAGTCTTCACTAGAACTGTATGGAAATATGCATGAGAATTACAACAGATTTGCCCGTGAGTCATGTGCAAAGTTAATATTTTCTATTTCCTCATAAATTATGCGAGAATCTGTAAAAATGAAATGATCCCTGATGAAATTGCATTTTTGATTTTCGAGACTAGATATTGTTCTAAGACTTCAGGAAATGTGCATTAATTAATAAACAGGTTGTTTTTAATTAATATAATTCGAGACAGGGTTTATTTTACTGTTTAATTCATGAATCACAAAATGTGATTTTGTGCAGGACCATCTTCTCTATCTTCTCTACTTGCATCCAAAAACAGTTTCTCAACCCTTTGCTCAATTGCCCTTTTTCTGTGCCACATAACCCAGGTGTGATAAAAAAAAAAGCAATCACAGTCTCTCTGATCACCACTCATGTACCCTCATGTCAATCATATTTAGTCTTTATGTTTCAATAAATTTCTGCAGTGAGGTGGCTCCGTGGTTCCCACCCTAGTGGTTGACCTGGTTAGGCAGTCCCATAAATGCATAAAGAGCCACTTGCTCTTCAATGGTTCATGTTCTCGTGCTTGATGTTCAGTACAAAAGAAGTCATGTTAAGTAGCACTTCAGATTTTGGAGATGCATTGTGATGCTTCAGAAGTGTGCTATTTATACGAACACCCCCTGTGTGTCAACGCATCGCAGGATTTGTTTTAAGTCAGGCGGTAATCCACTGTATGTAAATACCCTTGTCTTTTGATGTTTTAATAGAATGCCAGATTGAAGTCTGCTGCTACAAGTATTAAACAAAAGACAGATGTTTAGTTTGCAAAATGTTTCTAAATGTGGCCTGCATTAATTATTCCTGCCATAGGTTCTTGAGAAATGTTAAAGAGAGAACTTATTGTCAACAAGGGGGACATTTTTTTAGTACACATCCATTGCACCTTAAAATCTACTGAGCAGAGGTTGGAGTTTCACTTAGTGCTTATAGGGCATCGGAGGTAGCAAATTTACCACAAAAAGTTGTGTTTACACTGATTTTATAATGTACATAGTCTGCAATCACTTACAGGAATCAGAGTAGCAGACAACAGTGTTTAATGTGCTGGAAAGTTTTGATTAATTGTTGATTTTTGTGCATGGCCTACAGAAAATAACAAAGTATGGACTTGTGCTGTGAGACAGAAGTGCCAGTAAGCAAATGTATAACGCAAGTTATAATGCAAGCACGTTGTGCTTTACTGTAATAAAGTAAAAACAAAAAATAACTAATTTTGCCCACATATTTATATATTCCTTACACTGTAAAAAATAAATAAATAAATAATAAATAAATAAATAAATAAACTTGCTGCCTTATATTTATATGTAGAATCAAAAAAAAATGTCAACTTAAATTACTTTCAACTGATGAATGTTGTCATGACATTGATCATGTCAGTTTTTTACAGCGTATAGTTAGTTAGGTGTTGCAATACGGTTGCTATAAGGTGTTTTGGATGGTGGCTTGGTTGTTGCTAGGTGGATGCCAGGGCCTTCTGCTTACTAGCACAAGCGCCCTACCCCAAAATTCTATAATAGAATTGCAACTGGGTTCAGGAAATAAAAATTAATTAAAGCCGCCAGCACTCATTATTTAAGCTTATTTTGCAGTTCTTTCCCTCACTAAAACGGTAAAGTACAGAGTCTTTTACCTTTGTCTTTTTGTCAAAAACTTTTTTTTAGAGTTGTGATTTACCTAGTAGCTGATTAACTTGGTTCATGGCTTATAACTTTTTAACAAAGACTATCTTAAAATACATGTGGGAAAAATGAATGAAAAAAGTACTTCTGGAACCAGCGCCACTGAAAAAGAGGGCGGACACTGTTCCGCTCTATTCTAGATATGGTTCTGGCCTCTCTTTCAATGCTAGTGTATGGTTTTTTTTTTTGTTGTTGTTGTTTTTTTTACTTACGCAATAACGTCAGAAATCTGCATGATTTCAAGTATCAATTATGGTCCTATAAACAGTGGGAGATGCATTATGAGAGGTAATTTAATATTGTTAGTGCTAACTATGAGAATCAGTAATAGTGATGTTTGCCTTAGAAAGTACGACTAAAATCATTAAATTAAACAATACAATTTGTATTTGTTTTATTATAATTTTTTTTTATTTATTTATTTATTTTGTTTGTTGCTATGGCCACATGTCCTTGAGAACAACCTCATTCTATTTTGAAATATTGAAAGGAACAGAGAGGTATAGAGGGATTTCTCAGCTTGATAGAAAGTTGTTGTTAAGTGGCTGCTTCCCCCCATGCAGTGATTAGATCTGCTGTGTAAATGAGTTCACAGCTTCACACCACATCACTCGCTTTTGGTGTTTTTTCTTCTTCATTCCATATATGAGTCCTGTTGTTTAATTTCGCTCCAAAATACTTTCAAGTACAAAAAAAAGTGGCTAAAACCAACTTGGATTTTTTATTTTATTTATGTATTTGTTTATGTGAAAACTCTCTTGACTCCACTGTTATCTTGAGATCCAGGGGGTTGCTAATAAGTCTATAAAAACAAGGGCGTGCTTCTCAACAGTCCAGGTGCTCAGAGGACTTTCCCAGAAGAAGTAGCCATTTCCTGATATAGAGCAAACGAGTTTGTACCAACCTTTCAGGTCTATCGAGCTAAAGAAAATAAGGGTCACTTTCTCTAGGACATCTAGCTAATCAAGCGATTCAGTTTTCATTACCTGCAAGCTAGCCACTTATTAAGTACCATTGCATGGCAATTGTTTCATGCTGTCTCTCAGTGGGAGTGAGTGTGAGGGATATTATTATTTTGCATATCACAGACGTGTGTTTAGCAGTAGCGTATTCTCACCTAAGATGAGTGAGAGACAGACTATTTTCACAAGGCATGAGATCATTTGAATGGGCCGGGATTCCCTGTTTCTCAGTCTAATGGGTTTGATGCAGTTGTGAAAAGCTCACGATCATGTCAGTAATAACACCAGACACACGTTTGTCAGCTTTGACTGATGATGACAATCGTATATCATTTATTGGCCATCTCATTCTGGTTGACACTTTTGATAGTTCACTTAATCATCCTTGGCTGATTTACTAGTCCTCCTCTGCATGCTGTTGTTCACAGAAATGACAGGTTCACATTTGAGTCAATGGTGAGTTTTATGGTAAACTGATTCCAATTAAAATGGAAGTGCTTCCTCTTCCCTGCGGTCATTTGGATTGGAGACCTTTTGGGAATAGACATCTCCTTTTTTATTTTTTATCTTGTTTTTAAATCTGCAAGTTTCCATATTTCTAGGGCGTCAAAGAAATTAAATTTGAAATACAATTTGCCCCTGGTAAAAGTATTCCCATCTAAAATTTGTTGTAAATCAATATTTAATAAAGAGTATTAAAAAAGAGGAAGAAAATGAGGATGGCATCATGGGAGCGGAGTTCAGTTTTATGAGCATCATTTTCAAAGAAGAGCACCACAAATATCCACCCTCTCAAATTATGAATATATATCAACATGACAGCAACATGTGTACTGTGTATATAAATCTGTCTACCAATATCTCTGTGTATTTGTGAGTTTATTTGACTATATCTGGCAAATAGTGTTTCTTTAGGGACAAGAGTCTATCTGTATTAATAGGACAAATGAACACTTATGTGTACAATAGAACAAATAATTGACAGGCCATTTTAATTTATGTCATGTGATTTCCCCATCAATTTCTTTTTAGTATATTAATGTATTGTTGAGTGATAAGACTAAAAATATCTACATCTCAATTCAAGGACCCCATGAAGGACATTACATTGAGTGTCATTCTAAATTATGTGTTATAAACAAGTTGGAAGCTATTTTCCTGATGGATTATTATGTTTACTTTTGCTCCAGGATTATGCTGAGAAGGGGAAAACCTTGGCCAAAGCCCTGGAGGACCTCAAGGCCAACTTCTACTGTCAGCTGTGTGACAAACAGTATTACAAGCATCAAGAGTTTGACAACCACATCAACTCGTATGACCACGCTCACAAGCAGGTAATGGGCCTGTTGTCTGCCCCTTGAGACTTCCACTGATGCAATGCATAGCAATAATAGAGTGTTTTAGAATACGACAACAGATGGATTTTGTAGCTCACATGTAAAGCACAAGACAAATGACTTCCCCTTCGACTCAGAGTCAGTGGAGTGGAGGTGGTTATGGAGTTTTAATTTAGGAGGCCATGGATCAAAAGCAGGCAGGACATTTGACCTGTTCTTAAAGGAGTAGTTCACTTTTCAAAAACCTTTTGCTGATAATTTACTCACCCCCATGTAATCCAAGATGTCCATGTCTTTCTTTCTTCAGTCGAAAAGAAATTAAGGTTTTTGATAAAACATTCCAGCATTTTTCGACCGCTTTGAAAAAAAGATTTGTTCATTTTGATGAACGAGTTCGAACTGGAGAGTCACAAACGTGCGTCGCAGAACAGAGCAAGGCGAGCATTTGAGCTTATAAAACTTAAACTTTGTTATTTATTTATTAAATGAGCGATCTTTTCGCTTGATAAGATTTCGCTTGATATTAATCATATTATATTTCAATATTACTGTTGTGCTTCATTCAGAAAGTTAATTAACAAAAAAGGTTAAAGGAGCATTTCACCCATGGGAACACCCGTGGGTAGTCGAAGCATTAAATAAATTTAGAATTTTGTGCTTTCTTGACCGAGGAAAGACAGAAATTAACTTTAGGGCGCATTTGTATGAAAGACAACAACTCCCCAATGCACCACATTGCACAGCTCCGCAAGCCACTCCCACTAATCCAAAACAGCGCAAATATCAGAGAAATCACTCTTCCGTCTACAAGGCTAGCTACCACCAGAGCTCAAAATTCATTTCACAAAAAATTTCTAGTTACTTGGCGAACTCATTAGTGAATTACTCCTCATTTGTATTTCTTTTGAAATGGTGAATTGTTGCATGATACCAGGATGTCCGGTCAGAACATATGCAGTACGAAACTAGGATGGTTCATAACACAAACGTCCGTGTCCTCATCTGATTCAGAGATTGCGTCCTGGAGAAATTGGCATCATTGAAATTCTTTGCAGCAGACGGACTCTCTATCTCTATGTCCGTAGGTGCAGTGAGAGCACAGGCACCACCAGTACGCCCCAGCTTGAGCCAGTCTGGGCTCCTCTTCCGAGACAGGCAGGTCTTCTGCCTTCTGTTCCTCCATCAGTCTCAGCTGTTCTTCACTATATTGCGGCTCATAAAAGTTGCCACGAACATTTGATTCGAGCATCAGACTTTCTACATCCTCTTCTTCCATATCATATTGAGTACAGTTCGCCATTGTCGTAACTTTACATCTGGCTTCACAGCGCCTGTTAGCTTAGCTTCCAAACAAGATGGAGAATATTGTTTTTAGTTTCTGCAAGTGAAGTCCCACCCACTGATCTGTAATAGGTCATTAGTGTGAGTGGGTTGCACCCCCTGTGAAATGAGAAACAGTGTTTGTAGTCTCAACCCCTCTACTTCCTGCTTAGAATGACGCAAAATGGCGATTTTTACATCATTATAACACCAAAATCCTTATTTCTCCCGTCTCAGAGAAAAAGTGGGAAATAATGCATGACCATTCAAAAATATGACTGGGTTTCTAACAATACAAAGCTTAATTCAAATGGGTGAAGTGTCCCTTTAATGATGATGATAGATAGATAGATAGATAGATAGATAGATAGATAGATAGATAGATAGATAGATAGATAGATAGATAGATAGATAGATAGATAATTGAATTCTTCAATTCTGAGAAATTCTGCAGCAAACAAACAACTTCAATGGAGTTTTGTCACTCAGTGTATGTTGATTTATGAACCGCCAGCATCTAAAAATAGCAGTATAACCTTTAATAACAAGTTAAAGCTTTAATTCAACCACTTGTCCTGCTGTTTGATATCGGCCCTGACCCCTGTGCTCTGACTCACTCAGAAACTAAATGCATGGAGTCTCTGGGGCCTGCTGTGCTGTCAATAACAGAGCTCACTGAACTATTGACTTAACACCATCTACAAACCCTCCACTCATGACCTTGCTATTGAACACTGCAAAAGGAGTGAAATTAATGGATTATAAAGGAAAAAAGGCACTCCCCCACACTCTTTGATAAGGGTGCTACACTTGCTAGATTGTGTCATTCAGATGTGTTCGTCACATGGCCTCGAGTTCAAGTTCAAGTTCATTTTATTTATATAGCACATTTTATAACAGACACTGACTGACCAAAGTGCTTTACAGAACTACAAAATTAAAAAAACAATAATACCATGCAACATCACAACACAGATAAGTACAGCAAAGCTAAGAACAGACTTAAACAGGAGTAGCAACAACATTGTCAAACTTATAATATTAAATAAGAAAACAGAAATGGCAAAAATAGTATCTGACTTATCAATAATAAAACAGAAATGGCAGTATCAGTCTTAGATAAAAAGGAAAAACAGTATCATACTCAAAGGAGAAATAGTCAAACGCACCAACCATATTTATAGGCCAAGGAAAACAAGTGCTTTTTTTAAAAGTGTAATCCTCCTATCCTCGGCTTCCTATCAGCAGAGATTAAACTATTCTACAGCACAAGTACATGCTACCATTTGTACCTCCTCAATGAATGAGGTTGATGGATGAATAGCACAATTTCCCAGCAACCCTCTGAGGCTGGCAGAGCATGTCTGCTGAGAATATAATGGAGTATGGGAGACTCACAGACCCACAGGAATCCTAGAGCTATAGAAAAGCCTGGTGTTCCTGTCAGTGTGTGAATCATCACTGCCAAGACTTCACTGTCTGCCTTTGACTGGTCTCAATGTTGCTTTTAATTGAGAATACATGTCCGGTCAAAAAATTACTGTGTTAAAATTTTCATTCATTCTCAAGTGACCTGTCAGTCATGTCTGCCCCCATTGTACATGAAAGGATTTCACAGGGTATTTGCAGTACAGCTCTCTCACATCAGTCTTGCATCCTACTATAAATGATGTAACCACATCCAGTCATGTGAAATACAGGCTCCATGCATTAATGGCTCATTCCAGAGCCAAATATATTAACAATCAATAAAGAACAGCTCCTCCAAGGAATGAACCTGAGAGTCAAATAAATATAGCCCACGCCAACCTGTTTGCTATTTTCTGCAAGGATGGTTGACAGTGAACCAGCGCAGCGGATCAGGCCTGAGTTTGCCTATACTGTGCCAGCAGAGAGTGACAAGATAGGTGATGAAAGATAGAGGGCAGGTGCACAAAGAGACCCTATCCTGATGGGATCAAACTAGTTACCCTGATGTGCCCACTCCACACTGAGCAGCCCTTTAACATGACAAAATTATATCTGATGTGACCGCCTCGCATTCTCCTGACTATGAGCCCCAGCCACGGTAAATGCAATCACTGAAGCCTTCTCAAATAGGAGAGGTTACAGCGCCACTGAACTGTGTATAGCTGTGCAACCTGAGTGGAATGCGTAATGTTAGGCCAGATGACTCTTTCTTGTCTGCCTGGAGAAATCATCGCTGTTTTTATTCTCAGCTATCGCTAGCACGGAATCTAACTTGCCCAAGTACAACACATAGTCTGTCCTGCAATAAAAATGCTTTTCAAAATGGCGTGTCAGCTGTCTTAAAGCTAAGCATCAACTATTAGTGGATAATTGAAAGAAAGCTTACAGGATTAATTGGATGTGATAACTGTTCTAGAACTGGTTGTTGCTTGGAGACATCTGGTGCTTTCAAAAGGAGTGTAGTCTTTAAACATCCATAAATATCATATCCTTGTGAATTATTAATGAAAGTTAATTTAGATTATCTAACAGACCAAAGGGACTGTGCACTGCATGTACAGACATAATCCCAATCGATACATCTCACTGCCTGAGATGCATATGCGGCTTTAGCATCAGACTCTCGTGGCAGCTTCCATCAATTTTGCATTCAAAGCACAAAGCCTTTCAGACCAGGAAACAAATGCAAATTAGCACCACTGAGTTTTATCTAAAATAAATAGGACAATTTCATGGAGTTTAGCAACCTCATCCTCAGCTTCTTTTTATTTGCACAGAAAATGGATTTGATGAAACATAACATTGGTGTGCAAACACCTTAATTACCTTCCTTCTCTCTTGAAGTGATTTTTAATCTTTTTTGTTGTGTATCCCTCAATGTGTGATACACAGCAGCGATACCCCAGTCTTCATAATGAAAGGTTGTTAAAGCATGAAAAAAAAAAGATTCATGGCCTCAAAGAGGATTATTATTTAAATAGCTTTTGTTGCTTTCGCGTAGTTGACATACTAAGATAAGTGAATGAATGAGAGATTCTTTGTCATCATCCCCCCCCCCCCCTCAGAGGCTGAAAGAACTGAAGCAGAGGGAGTTTGCCCGCAACGTGGCCTCCAAATCGAGGAAGGATGAGAGAAAACAGGAGAGAGCTCTCAGACGCCTACATGAGCTTGCTGAACAACGCAGAGAGGTGCAATGGTGGGGGACGTTTTGTTAAATTGTTATTTCCATATTGATATACAATGTGCCAATGTATACATATATAGACTGTGATCTAAAAGTCAAGAAAATCTGCTCTTTTTCTTCTAAAACATTCTTTTAAACATGTAAACAAAGTAAATAATATTTACAAGTCAAATAAACATTCTGCACTATTTAAATCACTGATCAAACATGCCCCTTTTTCACATTGATAATGTTCACTTCTTTGTATGACATGTCAGATGTTCTTGCTTCCATTGAAGCACATGAAGCACAAGATGTAATTTTATTTTGACGTCATTTTGGAAACCATGACACAATCATCTCGTTTCCCTGTGGAGTCCAATCATCATTACCACCCCCTTTTTTGGTTAGTTAAAAAAGTGTAAATAAACCTGGCACATTTCATGATTTCATGATTTTGTCTGTCTTTTCTTCTTTTCTGATGCAGTGCCCCAGGAAGTGGTCCTATGTTTAAGTCTACCACGGTGGCAGTGGAGGGTTCTTTCAGGGAGTCCTGCTGTGATGATGCCCAAGAAGAAAACCACAGCTGTGCGGCTCAAGATTCAGGGGGTCCGATCCATTCCAGCAGTTGTGGCTTAGCTAGTAATCAGTCACTGTGGCCGTACAATGGCAGGGCCAAAAAGCAAACTTTCAGACGCAAAATTGCATTCTCTTTTTCCTTTCCAAAGAAAGCGTCTGTTAAGCTTGAGTCCTCAGCGGCGGTTTTCTGTGAGAGCATAGAGGAGGGATCGATGGAGCGGAGCCGCAGACAAAGACTCAGAGCACCCCCTGTCGAGCTTGACCTCCCCAGCTCCCCCATGGAGGAAAAAGTACTAAATTGTGAGGAGGCAATTTACAGCACTGGCACACAGCTGGGCAAGCACTTTCAAGAAAGTGACAGCACCGGAAGTCAGGGGTCATCAGATATCCCTGTGGCGAGGGAGAGCCCCTCGTCAACGGCCTCAGATTTGTGTGCTTTGCTCGTTTACTCAGAGGATGTGCCCAGTCCTGCCGTATCCCTCATAAACACTTCCCCCTACCATTTAAACAGTGCTGATATTGTTCTTGACTCTGAAGACTCTGTTGAGAGCCTGAAAAGCAGCATTGCTGATAATAAACCTGAGACCTCTGAGGATGTGACAGTAGAGGAGAACAGCATTACAGAGGAGGGGCACTCAACCATCATTGAGCCTCTGGAACAGACTTTCTCAGATGTGTCACCTAAGTACGATTCTGCTCAAAAACAAGAACAAGTGGAGGAAGCAACTGCAAAGACATCTTCCCCTTTCACAAAACCAAGCCAGCCTTTTTTCTCTGTCCTAAGCAGAGATGGTAACACCATCTTCCAGTGGCCCTCCGAGATGGTGTCCTTCACAAGGACAGAGCCATCCCTGTCTTTCAGTTGCAACCCCCTCCATTTTGATTTCAAGAGGTCACGGATTAGAAGGTCTGCTGACACTCAGGAGATGACTGAGCTCAAAACTGATGAGGAATTATCTGTCTGCTCAGGTTTCAAATCCTGCCACTCTGACAAGCACATTGAGGAATCCACAGCCAGCCACAGAAACAGTCCCAGCGAAGGACCTGAAGGCAAGGTCAGAAAGTGTTATCAGTTTTCAAATGACACAGAGAGTTGTGTCAGGCTGAAAACACATGACAGGTGTAGACATTCCAAAGATTGGATTCATGCAAGTAAGGGGGCTGAAAAGAAATTGCGGACCAGGGAACGACGTCATTACAGGAGCAACTGCAAAAGAAAGCGAAGGAAGCGAAAGAGGAGGAGAGACATATACCGGGAAACAGAGAGCAATATGGTGAAATCTAAGAAATTCCACAGACGACCTGAGTGTGTGGAAGGACTTGATAGCCAATTTAGAGGCACCACTTCACAGCAAGTGCATCCATTAGAGAAGTCAAAGCAATCAGCTCAAAATCAGACTCAGGACATCAGCACAGCTCCCGTAGTTGAGGAAGGGGTGGGAGGCATGAGGCAGGAGGCAACAGCCGATGTAAACGGCTCAGCGGGCTGCATCATTCTCTCTGATGAGTTCTGTGCTGATGGTGAAAAGGTGCTTAGGAACAGCAGGGAAAAGCCTGACAATCCAACTGCAGGGGAGCCGACGACCATAGCACAGTGTTCTCGTAGCCAGGACACATCTCACTTTCAGAGATCCAGTGCAGCCGAAGGGTGCCAAGAGGAGACGCCTTCATCACCAGAGACTAACAGAGATGGACCATGTGAAGGACAAATTTCGAAAAAACGACGATCAGATTTTATGAGTGATGTAGATGAGTCTTACAACTCCTGTCAGTCACCGGCAGAGATTTCTGATGGGTGCTCAGAAGTTACCTGTTGTTTGCATGGAATTATGAGGAAAAGAAAGAGGTTGTCACATGTCCAAGATCAAACTCCATGCCTTGCAAATGAATGTACTGCTGTTAAAAACAGTGTTCTGGAAGAAAAGGACAAAGCTGTGGAGGATTCAAGCCTGAAATGCCTTGTTTTAAAAGGCATGTGTGACAGCTCGAATGGGTCAGACCAAATCTCATGCAGTATTGATGATGTAGAGAGCAGTGCGGTTGGTCCTCAGACATTTACTTCCATTAGCAGTGCCCCGGGTCATACTGTGGTGGAGAGCAGTGACTGGCAACAGAGTGCCTCCTCTCAGATCAATGCTTCATGCACCAAGGGTAGTCTAACTCTACTAGAGACAGATTCAAAGGTCTCGGAAGAGCCAACAATGGAGAATAGTTACATCGTTAGTAGAGAGTCCAAGGCAGCACAAACGCACTCAAAGGACCGTAACAAGTATTCAGCGGTTGCTCAGGCCTGCCTGCTCGATGTGAGAGAGTTAGCCCTGCAGAGGACTGAAAAAGCTACTCACGACAAATCATGTCAGCACAGCATTCAAACCCCACCGCAGAGATTTCACCTAGGCATTCAGGCTGAGGAGAAGTTGAGGGAGTGCTTCCACACCACCAGCAGCCTGTTCCAACAACCCTCTGCATCTTTTCAGGCCCCCACAGAAAGCATGGAGAGACACTGTCTCCTGCAGATCCAGAGTCATGGACAAGTTCTACACCAGCAGATGTTCCCCACCAAGCTCAAATCTGTCCTATCCAGGCCTCATATGCCCATGTCATCTGCCGTCCTTCATCCAGTTCACCTGCCATCCTCCTTGCCTTCTGGCTCCATCACAATACGTCACACCATATTACAGCACCACACCGCTTTCCTGCCCCCACAACCCCCTATTTACCCCCAGGTAGTGCCTGTTTCTCGACTCCCCATGGGGCCAGAGATCTGTCGGCCCACTGCACCTCCCTTCGTGACCCCTCAGCAGGTATCGGTAGTGGCACCCCCTAGTATTCACCCAATGACTGTTACGTTTCATGCTCTGCCACAACCTGCCATGTTTCCGCCCATGTTGCCCCCTCATCATGCTGTCATTCCCCTTCAGCCTCTCTTCTAGCTGTGTGTGTAACAAAATGTATTTTGTACTTCAGAAGTGAGAGAAATATCTGCAGTGCTGCTTCCTTAGAAATAATTTTGAGATAGGAAGTTTTCCTTGGGTAACATACAAATGAGTTGTCTTTGCAGTTTGGGAAGGATGCTGTCATATTGTCAGAAGAGATTCGTGCAAACACTTTTTATTAGGAAAAAAAAAACATATATAACTCACCAACCTGATTAAGTCCAATACCTATTTTATTACGATTTGTTGTTTTGTAGATTTTAATCATCTCAAAGACCATCGGTTTGTTGGATCAAAAGCAGCATGATCATTTGTAACACAATTTAGGTGCACATCTTTCTAGAAAAAAAAAAGATAAGATAAATACATAAATATAAACACACAGACACACACACACGCACACACACATATATATATATATATATATATATATATATATATATGCGCTTTAGTCTAGATAATAACAAAATACGGTTATAATAATGATATATAATAACAATAGAACACTCTAAAAAATGCTGGGTTGTTTTAACCCAATTTTGGGTAAAATATGGACAAACCCAGCCAATTGGGTTAAAAATATAATTTAAAAATGTAACCCAATGGCTGGGTTTGTCCATATTTTACCCAAAATTGGGGTAAAACAACCCAGCATTTTTTTTGAGTGAATATATGATGGTTGCATATAGTAGTGAAATGAATACAGGAAGTCCTAAAGGGTTTAAGTGTTATTATGTGCCGTTTACAGAGCTCCATAGTAAACCTGCAGATAATTGATGTAACACAGACATTCTTCATATGTGACAGCATTTAAAATAAATCACACTGGCACTAGAGTATGATAATAATTACTACTTTATTAATTATTTAATGCTGCTGTACCTGTCAAAGGCTAGTGGAATGCAGCAAAATTGTGCTATGCACCATGCGCTACGACAGCATTGTGTTGAACACATATATAATTCTCATGTTTATGAATAGTTTTTATGCAAATAAAAATGCCCATAGTATATAATGGGTAAACTAAATGTCCCTGTCGAAAGTTGAACTGATATGGGAAAATTATATTTCTTTTTTAGCTAATTATGATCAACCTCAGTGCAGTGAATAAACAAACAGAATTAAGGTTAAGTTAAGACTACAGGGTGTGTTATGTGTGGTTTAATATTTACTTCAAATTGTAGATCTTACATGCTGTTGCCTAAAATATTTGAAAAGAAGCACAAAAATTACCAAGTGCAAATCCATACATGGGTGTTTCCTGTATCCCTCATATAGTAACCTGCTTGGATTAGGAGAACATAGACTAGACCTATCTGTAGAACATGGGGTACCCTGCCCTGTAGCAGTTTTTAAAGGATTCAAGGATTAAAGGATTTTTATTATTACTATATATTTTTTATCCAGTGTGTAAATCTGAATGTTTACATATCCAAAAATGACCAATGGCCTGCCTTGTGGAGCTGAAGTTAACATTGACAGTTATTCAAAATAAACATACAACTAAGGCAATTCCTCTTCTCCATTCATTAATATTATTGTTTTGATTTACACATTGCATGTAAAGCACAATAATAATTTTAAAAAAAGAAGATATTACAAGCTCTGGTGATAAAATTCTGGTAATATGATTAATTCTAACAAATATTTAACTGAACTTTATTAAAATCCTGCTTCAGGGTAACTTCAAAACAGTGTGGTTTTGTTAGCAAAGCATTCAATTTCTCCTGCTTGCATCAGATGAAAGAAGAGACTGAACTCAAGAGAAGGATTCATTTACTTATTTAAAATACTAACTTCTAAGACACATGAATCCAAAAGCAAGTCAAGTTAGCTAGTGAAGAACAGTTAAAATTATGTGTCTTTGAATTCTCACAATCCTTTCATTTTCAAAGGAGATGTGGTGAACTGGAATTAATGACTTAGTTTTGTGGATTTTGCAAATAGCCATATGGAAAGTAGACTGTACTTAATTCTTGATAATTATGCTCAACCATATGTTTTTTTTTTTTTTTTGTATATTTTATTTTATTTTTTTTATTATATATCTTTTCATTTAAAACTTGGGCTATAGAGCTCCACATTAATATTACACCACTGCTAGTAAACAGGACTCAAGGTTATTTAAAATTAATCAATAATGACAACAATAATAAATATATTATAAGGTAATAGCTGTATTCAATGCAAAATGAGTAAATATTGAAAATGTTTCTATTAAAAATGTCCCAGTGGAGGAATTTAAGCAGAGCATGCAGTCTATTTAGTTTTTTTATCTCGTAATTTCATTACTTAATATTCAAATTTGCATTAAAAAGAGGTGGTATATGAAAATAAAAAAGTGGTGTAGAGAAAGAGAGGGACTGGTGTTTTTTTTTTTTTAACATCTGTTCAACAAAGCCCTGAATACCACCAGATTGCTCCTTCTTAATTCATGTTGATTCTTAAACCCTAAACACATAGGAAATTGTGTAAATGCACAATGTTAAGTTTTTTTTTCCCCTGCAGTCAAAATTGTATATGCTGTAAATCAGTACTATTTATAAATCATGTAATATGTAATGTACATGTACATATGTTTTATGTTTTTATTGTGCCAGGTACTCTCTATGTATGAATTATTTAGATAAGACAAAAACAACTATGTTTTTTACGCCACTTTGCCAACTGAATGATGCTAAAGTACTATGTAATAAAACTAAGAAACAAGCATTTGCTTTCATGTGTGTCCATTTAAAATGTGTTTTTGGGTTCACTACACACTCAGGTGAAAAAAAAAGTCCACAGTATATGACTACAAACACACTGGAAATGCATGCTTTTTGAAGCCAGGGAAAATCCAAGGTTTTTGTCACTGCTAGGAAAGAACTGTTGAATATTTCATTTTAAGGTCTTGCACAAGCGATGCAGAGGTTATTGAGTGAGACAGCCGTGGTCATTTTTCTAGCATCTTTGAGGCAGTGTTAGACCATCGGAAGCTTGAGCTTCTAGTACGCTAGGCTTACAATTCACACTCTAGTCGGCAGCTTCCTGCAGCAGCTCTCTGAGAGAGTGACATCATTATGCAGAATTATTCTGCCATCCTGTATGAGACTGATTAGCTCAGATGTTCCGCTGTTATTTCCCCTCCAGTCCTTGAATCACATCTCTCCAAGGCTCCTCTGTTGTTAGACAGCATTACCTTCTTTCTGCTCGGCTACAATCGCAGGCTCTCTGAGCCATTTTGTGTGTCGACCTTTTTTTACTCAAAACAGCACTCGGCAGATTTCCTCATACTTTGTGACTCATAGGCCCAGTCACAGCACTCCCTTGTGCCATTTTGTTTCCCTGGAACGGATGCGAATGATTTCTGCACCCGCTACCTCTATCCCACAGAGCTAAAGCATGGTCTTCCTGCTGTCTACACTACTGCTTAAGCACCTCTCGCTGAGCCTGGACGACCCGGATGATGGCTGTCGGGCTTGTGTACTTGTGAGAAATAAGCTAAACAACTAACATCCATACTTATTTCCTTTTTGCAAACATTGACATGCAGCATTTGCATAAAGCCTTTGTTATATAAAAGCACCAAATTGCAACATTTTTGCCATCTAAAACATTGTTTTTCCTCGGAGCGTATCTTGCCTGCAGACTTACGGACCATCTCTTTACAAACACCCACGTACGACACTGCCTCTCACATCCAGGGATAAACAAATGCCTGGCTACCCTCAGACAAAAGGCATTCTCTGCAATCTGAGCATTGCACCGGTCTAATCATGATTTCGCATTCATCAGAATCGGAGCATTATCGTAGTCATCTTGTTTGTATGTTGATGAGAGTCTCACGTTCAGAGGATGGATTCTATATTGGGGATGCAATTAAAAATCTAGGCATCTCATTTGTGTCGTCTCGTTATCCTTTTTGTTTGTTGCCTTTCTTTTTATTTTCCTCGCAAGGTCAAGGCAATACACAAGAGAGTGATGCAGGAAACTGCAAAACACACAGACTCATGCAGGATTGTCAAGCTGTTAAATAAAGTTTAATTAACGCTTCCATTCTCTTAGAGCAGGTTTTTATTACTAAACGAAGATGAGCTCCTGGATAATTGTACCCTCATTATTATAGAATGAAACAATAGTCTGTGTGGCTCTGAATGGCAAGAGAAGCATCTGAATTAGGGACTAAACTATTAAATCTTCTTTCAGTTTTTATTAGACACCATCTGTGGTGTGTGTTAAAGTCTGACCTCAAGTGAAGCTCTTTGTAGCTTTTCTTCATAGGGACTGCCTGGGACTCTTTAAGTGCTTGTGTTACAGCGAATCCCACAGTAAGTCAAATAAATTGTCAAGAAAGTTATTGCTAACCTCAATAAGAGCCGATTCGACAGTAGCAAGCTTACAAATTTCACTGCCTGAAGTCTGCATGAAAAATTCATAGCGTATAAAGAAATATATCAAACACTATAAACATCTAAACACATTCAAGAATCATAGGCTAATGAATATGACACCAATAAGCCATGACAGGCCAATCATTTTACCAGGGCTGAAACGTGTTCTTAGAGATTCAACTGGATTGCCTATTACCCATTCACAAATCACTGACTTATGTTCAGTAAGTACTTACATTTATTGGAATAAACAATTCTTCCACTACATAGTTGATTGTAACAGTAGGTGTTTCCTAACTTTGCACAATAATATACATCATGAACATAGAACACAGAACTCTTTTAGTACATGAAGTACATGGCTACACGGGTGTGTGGTATACTGTATATTCTACATCTGCAACAGTATTTTGTCATTGTCCTTTGACCATTGTGATCTTTGACCCACTGGCACACGAACAACCCTGCAGCCCCCCAGTGATGCTGATGAAGAACCTTAGATGACGTCTATTATCCATGTATCATCTGCCTACTGTATCATGAATACTCAGTGTACATTTAATTCATGTGACTTATTTTTGCCTATAGCAGGGAATGCATTGCGCTGTTTCAGTCATTTCAGGGGGCTGTGGACATTTCCCCGGTGATGGGAAAGAGGTCACTGGATGTTAACAATCTGAATGGTTTGTGATGGCTATGAATTGCCTAGTTGCTCTCATGACACAGGCTATATGCATACTGGCCCCAATGACTGTCCCCTTAGACATTTTATTGATCCTGCTGTCACTGATCTCAACACACCACACTGGTACTGAGATGATTTCTGTCAAAATAGGGGTCAGAGGCTAGTAATTTCACAAAGAATTTCAATAGAGAGGCCTTGACCTAAACTGACAATATATAAAAAAGTTTGGTAAGATTTGTTTATTTGCATTATTTGCTTTAAAAATGTACAGTCAAAACAGCAATACTGTTAAAAACACCAATATTTCAATCTGCATAGGGTACCTAAAGGGATAGTTCACTTTGAAATTAATTTTTGATTTGTTTTAGCTTACCTCAAGGTCATCCAAGATGTACAGTAGGTGTCTTTGTTTCCACAGTATTTTCAATTTTGACATTTTTCAGTCAAACCGTTGTGTTGAATCAGTCATACACTGGAGG